TCATCTAAATTTAAACTCACATCTACAAAGCTCTTAATCATTAAACAGTGCCCCTTTTCCAGATGATAAACCCAGGCTCAGAGATGCCCAGTAGCTTGCCTATGGTCCACAAATGGGATTCAAAGCTGGTTCCTTATGACTAGCCTGGGGCTGCCTACCCCTCCCAGGACCTCTCTAAGTCACACAGCTTCCATGTTCAGTTACAGCATCACTGGACACATTTTCAGTCAACTTGACATTTGCCTGAAAGCAGAAGTCTGCCCCTTCGTCCTCTAAGTTAGTCCACTTTGCATTGCTATGAAGGAAATACCCGAGGCCGGGCAGTTATAAAGAAAGGTTTGTTTGGCTCACAGTTCCACAGGCTGTATAAGAAGCCTGTCACTAGCACCTGCTCTGGTGACTTCTTCAGGGAACTTCCAATCGAGGCAGAAGGCAGTGAGGGAGCAGGTGTGTCACACAGCAAGAGGGAAGGGTGGCCAAGCTTTTTGAAACAACTAGTTCCCCCCTGAACTAATAAAGCCAGAATTCTCTCATTACTGGGGGGAGGGCACCCGGCCATCCCTGAGGGATCTGCCCCTGACCCAAACGCCTCCCACCACACACATCTCCAACACTAGAGTTCAAATTTCAGCATGAGGTTTGGAGAAGCCAGCATCCAAATTCTCCATCCCTGAGGGCATCTTCTTTCCTTTTTGTATCTTTCATGTCCAAATCTGCCCCTGGAATGAATGGAACCACCCTGAAGGCAAAAGACTGGCAGAGCTGACCCCCACACCAGAGGGAGATCCATTGCAAGTGTGTGTCTGCCTCCAATGAGCTGAGCTACAGTGCCGTGTGGCAGAGCACTGGCCTCAGAGTCCAGAAGGCTGGCTTTTGCTTCTGCTCACTTAATGGGTGGATATCTTGGGCTGTTCAGTGTCTGCCCCCGAGCCTCAGTTTCCCTTTCTGTGCCTCTGAAATCTCTGATTCTATATAATCTTGAAGACCCTAAGACAGGTACTTAAGGAGGAATGAAAATGGAGGAGATGAGGCTCAGACGGGCCAGTTTGTGACCGGGGCTCTGCTTGGGACCATGTTCCTTGCATGTCCACCCCTTGGCCACAAATCAGCCCTTTGCACATGGATCCCTGCCACCTGAAGAGCCCTGCCCTAGCCAACACTGCAGGCCCAGCCCTGCACCAGCCTCAGGCACAGGCTGAGCCCAGGCTGGGGCTATAGATGCAGCATCAGGAGAGGATGTGGAGCCCCTCTGCCCTCAGATACAGGCTGAGCCAGCTGCCTCTTCAGCCCCTCTTCTGTTTGAAACACTCCCAGATCTCTGTTCTCACTTTCTTCTTCTGCCTTGCTTTCTCCAATCCATTTCTCCTCTTCTTTTTCTGTAGATTCTCTTTCTTACTGAAGCTTAGGGCAGGGGTGGGGGAAGGAGGAAAGTTGGCAGAAAGAAAAGATTCATCAATATTTAATTTTTATGGAAATCATGTCCTAGAAATCCCTAAGGGGCTGAAAATTGTTCTATGTTTTCAGAATCCAGTGATGTTGCTGAAGCGGTTATGTTGTAAATAAAACCACATTACTGTCTGCAGCTCTCCCGTCGCTCTGCAAACACCTGGAAACTTGACAGTTTAATCCACTCAAGGAAGCAAAGAGGTTCAGGTCACTGGTGGGGGAAGCCCGTTCTGCAGCCTTGGGATATAAGATTGTGAGGCATCAGCGTCAGCAGTGCCGCTGCTGCTGGGGAGGGAGAGAAGGCCAGCATGCCCTGGGTGGATATACCATGCTGGTGGAATTTTCTCCCTCTGAATAGGAATCCTAGGACAGCAGGGCACCCCTGAGGTCACTGATGTCAAGGAAGATTTGCTTAGATGGAGTAGGCTTTTTTTCTCTTCCCTCATACCCGTCGTGAAGTAGAATAAATGACCTGGAAAGATCAGACCCACATTAGTTTTGAGCAGCTTTTGGTAGGGTTAGGATTTGAAAAGGATGTTCTTTTGTCCATTCATTCATTTTTTTTTACATCACATGTTTATAACTTATCCACCATGTCCAAGACACTGTCCTAGGTACTGAGGATACAGCGAAGCCCAGAAAACATACAGTAGTCCCCACTTGCATTCTCAGGGATGGGGCAGATGATAAGCCAAATAAATAAGTAAAATATACACTCTGTTACATGGTAATCAGCCTGTGGAAAAAATGAAGCAGAAATTATAGATGTTTGCCCATGAGAAATGTGAAAACATGTATTGACTAAATGACTTGTACAAGAATGTCCAGAGCAGCCCTATCCACAACAGCTGAACAGCCCAGATGTCCGTCCTCAAGGGAATGACTCAGTGAACTGGCCCGTCTGCCTACAGAATGCTACATAGCCGTGAAAAAGAACAGTCTACAGACACATAAAACAACCTGGACAGATTGAACAGCTATTTTCTGAATGGAAGAAACCAGGCACACAGAAATGTGTCCTGGGCAATTCTATTTAAGTGATTTCTAGAATAGACAAAACCACTCTGGGAGATGGAACTCAGGGAGCAGTTGCTTTGTGGGAGGCAGGGATGGCCGTGAACGGCAAGGGGTCATGGGCGTGCTGCTTGTCTGGAGATGTACTCTTCCACACTGATTGAATAGCGCACTTGGAATCAGAGCCTTTCATCCAGGTGAGTTATTAAAATTAAAAAGCACAGCAAGGTGCAGCTTGAAAACAGGGTACACAGGGAAGGCCCTGCTGAGGTGACATGTGGAAAATAGGGGAGAGAGCCACGAGGGAATCTGGGAGCAGGACATTCCAGCAAGAGAGAATAGCATGTTCGAAGCCCCTGAAATGAGAAACCAACTAGAATGGCCAAGAAACCCCAAGAAAGGAAAGCAGTGTGTTAGCTCAAGTCCCCATAACAGAGTACCCCAGATGGGGTGCTTAAACAGCTGACATGTATTTTCTCACAGTTCCGGAGGCTGGAAGTCCAAGATCAAGATGTTAGCAGGTGGATTTTCTTCTGAGGCTGCTCTCATTGGCCTACACATGACAGCCTTCTTTCCATCTCCTCACGTGGTTGTCCTTTGGTCTGTATTTTCTGTGTCCTAACTCTTCTTCTTATAAGGACCTCCATCATATTGAACACTCACCCTCCTTATTTTAACTAAATTATCTCTGTAAAGACCCACCTTCCAAATAAAGCCACATGCTGAAGTGGTTGGTTTTGGACTTCAGCATATGGATTTGCAGGGACAAGTTCAGCCCATAGCAGCAAGCGTGGAGAGGTGTATTTCAGACAGACACACACAGACTGCCGTGTGCTCTTGTGCTGAGCCATGGATGCCTGGCTGCTCTCTTCTGTGTTGAGGTAGGCTGAGGGCTTTGTGGGAGAGGATGGAAGGAGTGCAGAGGCCAGAGGTGGCAGTTCTTTGGGTTGCTTTTCATGAACTCATGTCAGCAGGAAAACTTGCTTCCAAAAAAGCCATTGTGTTCAGCTTGAGGGCCAGGCCATAGATCTCACTTTCTGTACAAAGAGGCATGATGGAGTCTAGTTGGAGATGCTGATGAGGCTTCTAAGCCTACTGTCCAGTCACTCACAGGGGCTTCCTCAGCTTGAGGAAGGATAAGGGGTAGTAAGAGTCTCACCTGCGTGCTGCTAGCTCTGCTTACAACAGCAACCTGACACCGCCCTCTGGTTCTTAAGACACCACCCTCCAGCCCCCACCGACCCCCGGGCCTGCATCACCCCTTGGCTTGACACTGTCTATTGTCTTTTATGAGTGCCGAGATCCTCAGCTTGACCTAGCCATGCTCAGAAAATGCTATTGATTTTCTTCTACTTATTTATTTATGAGATTTTTGCTGTGGGCAAAAAATAAAAAGGTTTGTACAGCACTTCCCCTAGCCTTGAGAAGCTTTCTCCACCCACTGCCTCCCTCCCTGGTACGCACACTCGCAGACTGCTCTCTCATCCCCACACTCTGGGAGTCCTGCATCTCCTGGTTGTGGATGCAGGGAGGGTTGAAATGAAGTGAGCTAAGAGTCCTACCTCATACCCAGGACAGAGTAGGTTCTCAGAAAATAATGTGGGAGTGGTGGCTGGAGGCGTTTTGGAGGAAGCCATGGCTGATGCCCTTAAGGGTTAAGGATGATGAGGACAGCCCATCCCTCTGGGGAGGTACCTACTGTATGCCAAGCCCAAAAAGGCAGATTTTATTACCTTTTTGAACAGTGAAAAAGTCAGTGAAGTTAAACATCTTGCTCAAGGGAGGGTGCCCAGGAATTGAGTTGGAATTACCATTCAGGTCTTCAGGATGCCAGCACCCCACATCTCTCCACTGCATGGTACAACCTGCCCCAAGAAGAATCAGAACTCATTTAAGAGACTATTGGGAGCTGACTTGGCCCACAGAACAAGGCACCTGCCCTCTCCTAACCCTGGCAGAGCCTCTCCATTTTCTGGAAGCCTCCATTGGGCTGAGCACCAGGAGTCGGAACAAGGTCTGCTCTCACCCACCCCTGCCATCGTTGGAAAGATGACTATACCAGAATTTGTCCCCACCTTGCAGTGGAACATCAGGCACAGAGTTGGCTTTGGTGTCTTTTTGGAGAGGCGGCTGGCCCAAAAGAGCTGGAGGGAATTCCAGTCCTCTCTCAGGGGTCAAGCTCTGTTGGTTAACAGTGTGACACATTGAGCCCCAGAGCTGCCCTGTGTCAGCCAATCAGTTCCACTCTGTCCCATGCAGATGTCCACTCATGTGTATACCCCTTCCCAGAGTGACCTTTCCCTCCCTGGAATTCATAAAAAATGCCACTGTATCTTAAAAGTCCAGACAGAAGTCTTGTCCTTTGAGCTTTGTTTCCTCTGGGTTTGGGCATAGAGCCTGGTGGCAGAAGGATGACAGTGGTCCCTATGGATCCCAGTCAGCTGGCAATACATCCTTCATGTTCATCCCATGCCTGCAGGGGGTGTAGCCCTCACAGTCACTCCATGTGTTTTCCTTCCTCTTTTTCTCTTCCCTGGCAGGAGTTCCCCTTGGCCGTCCTCAGGGGCTGGAAATGCTACTGTGCTTACCCTACTCCCCAGTTCAGCCTACGGGATGCCATGGACAGCTCCCTATGTGGCCAGGACCCTGAGGTCCAGAGGGTGGCAGATTACTGCGAGGTCTACCAGACGCCTGTGCAAGGTGAGCTCTGTATCCACTACAGGTTGTGGCACTTGATCTGGGGCCTGGGGAGAGCTTCCAGGGTTTGGAGATGCCAGTCATGGCTCAGTGTACAGATCAGGATTAGGAAGGTATCTGCATAAAGGCTCTAGCATCTTAGTGGGTGGTGGAGATAATGGGAGAGATGAGGCCTCCACCCTCCCTGGAGGCTAAATCCTAGACTGACTTTGAAGAATATCAGACCCTTTATCTGAGTCTTTCTGGGGATGACAGTGGTAAGAGGAACAGGGGAAGAGCAGAAAGAGAAAGGGACTAGAGGGGAAGCAATAGCAAGATGGTGGAGTTGGGCGGCATGGGGAGAAAGGGATCCTAGGGGCCACAGGGACCTGAGCATCCTCCTTGGTGTGAGTATCATGTCTGACCTTAGGAACTGATGAGAGGAAGAGTGAGAAAAGAGAGATGGTACCACCTTTATCAAGTGCCCACCATGACCCAGAACATACTTGGAGGTTTGGGGGCTTTTCCCTGGTGTTTTGTTTTCGTTGGGGTTTTTTTGTGCTCTTTACAGCAGCTGTGAGGATGAGATATAGAGTTGCTTGCCTGAAATTAGTCTAGCCCTGGTTTGTTGTTGGCTATCCCTGGGTATGTGGAATTGCCCAGCATAGCTCGACCTCTATATACCTCTCCTAGCAGAATCTTGACTTATCTGTGCTATGCTGAAAGCAACAGTTTGGCTGTAGCCATGGGGATAGAATGAGGGTCAAGGGCCCATAGGGTGACAGATTCTCTCCCATTCCTACTCTAGAGAGTGGCAGGGGGGCTTGGTTTTGCCAACCACAGACCTGTACAGCCAATGTACAGGTGAAAAATCTCTCCCCTCTTTGGGCCTCAGTTTCCCCATCTATTAAATGGGAGTATTGGATTGTCCCTATTAGAGGAGTTCAGTGGTGAACACCTGTGAGTCACAGTGGAGGTGAATAACACTGTGATCCTTCTGGACTTTCAGACACTCGGTGCACAGACAGAAGGTTTCTGCCTAACAAATCCAAAGTGTTTGTGGCTCTGTCCAGCTTCCCAGGTGCTGGAAACACGTGGGCACGGCACCTTATTGAGCACGCCACTGGCTTCTATACAGGGAGCTACTACTTTGATGGGACCCTCTATAACAAAGGTAAGTCAAAGCTATAGGGGATTAACTTGAATGTACATAAGAATCATTTGCAGATACAGCTACTAGTATACCACACTTACCCCTCAGGAACCCAAGACTGGCCTGCCTGATGGGCCCCATCCACATCAAAGGTATACCATTGCCTTCACAAACACTTCCAGTCTAGGTCACTGAGGCACTTACAGGTACCAGTGGTATTGATTACAGCCAAGAAATTACATGGAGACTACACTACTGCACCTAGCCAGAACCCAAGCCAAACCAACACTCTAGGATGCATCTGTAGGAAAAAAATCTTTCCCTATGAAGGCTATTTCATCAAATTGGGAGAGGCAGCTGTTCCACCAGATGTGCAGGTCTCAATATAGGTACATAAGATACATGAAAGAGCAAGGAAACATGACACCTCCAAAGCAAAACAGTAATTCTCCAGGAACAGACCCCAAAGCAAAGGAAATCTATGAAATGTCTGAAAAGGAATTTAAAATAATAGTGTTAAGGAAACTTAGCAAGATATGAGAGAATACAGATAGACAAGTCAGTGAAATCAGGAAAACAATTCATGATCCAAATGAGAAATTCAATGGAGATAGAAATCGAAAATAACCAAATTTGAGAGCTGAAGAATTCAGTGAATGAAATAAAAAAACAACTGAAATCTTAAATAACAAACTAGATCAAGAAGAAGAAGGAATTTATGAACTTGAAGATAGGTCTTTTTAAATGGTGAGACAAAATAAATAAATAAATAAAAAGGATGACAAAAAGCCTATAGGACTTAATGGGACACCATTAAGTGAACAAATATTTGCACTGTTGGCTTTGGAGAAGGTAAATAAACAGGACGGAGGCATAGAAAAACTATTGAACGAAATAATATCTGAGAACTTCGTAAGTCTTAGGAGAGATTAGGACATTCAGATCTAGGAAGCTCAGAAAGTTCCATACAGTTTTAACCCAAAAAGTTCGTCTCCAAAACATAATATAGTAAAACTGTCAAAGTAAAAAGTCAAAGGCATAGTTCTAAAAATAGCAAGAGAAAAGCATTAAGTCACATTTAATTAGTCACATTAGACTAACAGTGGGTTTCTCATCAGAAACTTTAAAGGCCAGCAGAGAATGGGATGATTTATTCAAAGGGATGAAGTAAGAAAAACTGGCAGACAAGAATACTATACCCAGCACAGCTGTCCTTCAGAAATGAAGGAGAAATAGTCTTTCCTACACAAGTAAAAACTGGGGGAATTAATCACTATCAGACTATCCTTACAAGAAAGGCTTACAGGAGTCCTATGTTTGGAATCAAAAGGATAACAACCACCATCATGACAGTACACATAGTTCACTAGTAGAGCAGATACATAAATGAAAAAGAAAAATAATCAAATTTTGTCACTACAGAAAACCACCAAATCACAAATATAAGCAATAAGATAAGAAGAAAGGGAAAAAGAATATATAAAACAATTAACATATTAATATAGAAAACAATTAACAAAGTAACACAGATATAAGACTGTCAGTAACAATCTTGAATGTAAATGGGTTAAATTACCCAATTAAAAAATATAGACTGGCTGAATGGGTAAAAAAAATAGGACCAAAGTATATACTGTCTTTAAGAGACTTAACCTGACCTGGAAAAACACACAAACTGAATGAATGTGAAAAGATAGAAAAATATATTCTATGCAAATGGAAACCAAAAGTAAACAGGAGTAGCTATTCTTATATAAAAGAAAATAGACTTTAAGTCAAAAGTTGCAGAAAGAGAAAGGGATCAGTACAGTAAGAAGATATAACAATTTTAAAAATAAATGCAGCCAACACTTGAGTACTCAGATACATAAAGCAAATATTATTAGATCTAAAGAGAGAGGTAGACGCCAATATAATAATGGTTGGGATCTTCAAAACCCCACTCTCAGCATTAAAAATATCATTTAGGGAGAAAATCAAAAAAGAAACTTTAAATGAAATCACACTGTTGACCAAATCGACCTAAGAGACATTTACAGAACATTTTGTCCAACAGTTGCAAAATACATGGCATGGGACATTCTGTAGGATGGAGCACAATTCAAATCTCAGATGTCTTTTATGACCATCGTAGAATAAAACTAGAAATCAATAACAAGAGGAACATTGGAAATTTTACAAATACGTTGAAATTAAATAGCCAGCCAAATTGGCACACACTTGTAGTCCCAGCTACTTGAGAGGCTCAGATGGGAGAATCACTTGAGCCCAAGAGTTCAAATCCTACCTGGGTAACATAGTGAGACTCTGTCTTTTAAAAAATTAAATTTAAAATATTTAAAAAAAATTAAACAACCTCCTCCTGAATGCCTAATGGTTAAGGAAGGAATTTTAAAAATTTTTTGAAACAAATGAAAATAGAAACACAACATGCCAAAATCAGTGGGGCACAGCAAAAGAAGTATTAAGAGTAAGGTTTATAGCAACAAATACCTACATCAAAAAGGAGAGAGATTTCAAATAAACAACCTAACAGTGCACCTCAAGAAACCTAAGGACCAGGAATAAACCAAACCCAAAATTAGTAGAAGGAAAAAAATAATAAAAATCAGAGTATAAGTGAATAGAGACTAAAAAACAGAGGACCAAGAAAAAACCAAAACCCAAAATTAGTAGAAGGAAAAAAAATGATAAAAATCAGAGTATAAATGAATAGAGACTAAAGCACAAAACCAAAGATGAACAAAACAGAAGTTTGATTTATTGAGGAGATAAAATTGGCAAACCATCAGTTAGACTAGGAAAAAAAGAAAGAAGACACAAAAAATGAAAATGGAGAGATTAAAATTGATACTATAAAAATACAAAGGATCATTAGAGACTATTATGGACATCGATACACAACAAATCAGATAACCTAGAAAAAATAGATAAATTCCTGGACATATACTTACTGAGATTGAAACAGAAAGAAATAAACTTGAAACAAAAATAACAATTTAATGAGATTAAATCAGTACTAGAAAATCTCAACAAAGAAAAACTGAGAGCTGGATGACTTCACTGATGAATTCTACCAACTTCTAAAGAACTAATGCCAGTTTTTCTCAAACTATTCCTAAAATCAGAAGGGGAGGAAATCCTTACAAACTCATTTTACAAAACCAGCATTACCCCGATACCAAAACAAGACACAAGGACACAACAAAAAAGAAAACTACAGGCTAGTATCCCTGATGAACATAAATGCACAAATCTTCAACAGAATGGAAGCAAACCAAACCCACATAAAAAGATTATACACCAATATCAAGTGGAATTCATCTTAAGGGTACAAGGATGGCTCAACGTATGCAGATCAATAAGTGTGATACCTTACCTCACATTAACAGAATGAAGGGCAAAAACCATGTGATCATTTTGATGGATACAAAAAAATCATTTGCCAAAATTCAACATCCCTTCATTATAAAAACCCTCAATAAATTAGGTACAGGAGGCATGTACCTCAACACAATGAAGGCCAAACATGACAAACCCACAGTTAACATCATACTCAATGGAGAAAGGTTGAAAACTTTTCCTTGAAAAACTGAAACAAGACAAGGGTTTCACTACTTCTATTTAACATAATGCTGGAATTCCTACCCAGAGCAGCTAGACAAGAGAAATAAATAAAGGACATCTAAATTGGAAAAGAGAAACTCAAATTATCCCTGTTTGAAGATGATATGATCTATACAGGATGGCCATAAAGTTTATGTGTAATTTATGAGTTTTATGACTACCCTGTATATAGAAATACCTAAATATTTTACCAAGAAACTCTCAGAACTGATCAATGAATTCAGTAAAGTTGCAAGATACAGAACCAACATATAAAACTCAGTAGCATTTCTATACACCCATAGAGAGCTAGTTGAAAAAGAAATTACAAAAGCAATCTCATTTATAATAGCTACCAAAAGTCCCCAAATCCACCTAAAAACAAATTGTAATCAAGGAGGTGAAAATCTCTATAAGGAAAACTATAAAATGCTGATGAAGGAAATCAAAGACTTTTGGGACATAAATCAATTCCAAATGTATTGAAGGACTTAAATGTAAGACCCAAATCTATGAAACTGGTAGAAGAAAACATAAAGGAAATTCCTCAAGGTATTGGTCAAGTCAAGAATTTTTGATAAGACCATAAAGGCACAGGCAACAAAATAGACAAATGAGATTATGTCAAACTAAAAATCTTCTTCCCAGCAAAGCAAACAGTCAAAAGAGCGAAGAGACAGACTGCAGAATGGGAAAGAATATTTTCAAGCTATTTATCTGACAAGGGATTTATACCCAGAATATATAAGGAGCTCAACAGCAAAAAACAAATAATCTGATTTTAAAAATTGGAAAATAATATGAATCGACATTTCTCAAAAGACATCAAATGGCCAACAGGTATATGAAAAAAATGCTCATTGTCACTAATCATCAGGAAAATACTAATCAAAACCACAGTCAGATCATCTCAGCCTGATTACAATGGCTACTATCAAAAAGAAAAAATAAATGCTGGCAAGGATGCGGAGAAAAGGGAACTCTTATACACTGTTAGTGGGAATGTAAATTAGTACTGCTGTTATGGAAGATGGTATGGAGATTCTTTAAAAAAAAAAAAAGAAGAAGAAGAATTAGAACTACCATATGATCTTGCAATCCCAGTACCGGGTTTATATTCAAAGAAAAAGAAATCAGTGTCGTACAGGGATCTGCATTCCTGTGCTTACTGCAGCACTGTTCACAATAATCAAGATATAGAATCAACCTAAATCTCCATCAACAGATGAGTGGATAAAGAAAATATGATACATACACTAAGGAATGCTATTCAGCCATTATAAAAAAGAATTAAATCCCAGCATTCATAGCTATGTAGATGAGTTTGGAGGGTGTAAGTGAAATAAACCAGGCACAAAAAGATAAATAACAAGTATTCTCATGTTGAAGAAAACATCAGTCTTATAAAAGCTGAGAGTAGAATGGTGGTCAGTAGAACGTGGGAACGTCAGTAATAGGGAGATTTGGCTAACAGATACGAAATTACAGCTAGATAGGGGGAATAAATTCTAATGTTTTACAGCACCGTTGGATAACAGTAATTTGTTGTGTATTTTCAAATAGCTATAAGAGTGTTTTGGATGTTTCCAACACAAAGAATGATAAATGATTGAGAAGATGGATATGCTAATGCCCTGGTGTGATCACTACACATTGTAGACATGCATCAGAATTTCACACTGTCCCCTGTGAATATATGTCATTATTATATGTCAACTGGAAATCATAAAAAATTATTTATAAGCTAAAAAAAATTATAAAACATGGATTCTGGGCCCCTACTCCTAAAGCAGTGGTTCTCAACCTTCCTAATGCCACAACGAACATAATTTTATGGTTGGGGATCACCACAACATGAGGAGCTGTATTAAAGGGTTGCAGCATTAAGAAGGTTGAGAACCACAGTAAGAGGTGGATTCAGGCAGCCTCAGGTGGGGCCTGGGAATTTTCCTTTCCAACAACCACCCAATAATGCTGATGTAGGCAGCCCTAGAGCCACACCCTGAGTATAGTGCCTGTTCTGTATTCAAAAGAAAAGACTAACAGCTTGGATTTCCCTCTATAATCATTTCTTAAATTTCCCTTAACTTTTATAGCTCTAAATAATTAAGGAGTGAACCCGATTTAATCTGTTCATTCCTTTTTGGGTTTTTTTTTTTTTTAAACAGGGTAGCTTATCAAAATAGAATTTTAAAAAATAGGTCTAAAAATCTTCGTGAGTTTTATGATTTCTAATCTTTTCCTTGTAAAAATAAGAGGAAAGGAAATTAAAGGTCCCAAGACTGGGTGCTGTTTAAGAATGAAGCACCTCAGACAACTCAAGTAGCATCTAAATTTGGCAAAATGTATTTATTTGTTGTCAAGTGTTATAACAGTTTCTCTGGGGGTTCTAGCATTTGGTTTAGGAAAGATGATACTATGAATAACATCCTAGAGAAACAGAAACTTCCTGAGCTTGGCAGTGGGTTCAGGAATCACTCACAACCCTTTGGTTGGGAAAGTCAGGGCTGTCCATATGAGCCAGCCCCATCTTCTCGGGAAGCCTTGAGTATTAATGGGAACCTTCAGACAAGGGAAGAGTTGGCCAGGTAAGCATGTGATCCTGCCCACTTGGCCTAGCCCTCTGGGAATCATCCTCTGTGCCTGGACTGCAGTTCCCCACTTGTTTATCAAGACAGCCTTTCCCTTATTTAAGCAGCTGGCTGTTTGGTCTACGTATGGATAGGTGGCCCAGTGATTAGAGTAGCCAGCCATAAAGATTGGGATGACACTGCCTCAAATATGCTTTGGAAATACCCAGCCCATCTTTGAACCTTACACAACTGTTAGCAGTAGCCACTGGTCTGAAAGTACCAATGAGATGATGACTTGTGTAAAATTCACAAGACATCTACAATGCCAAAATGCCAAACCCATTGTGGTAGGTGACTGTGGTCTGAGCAACTACAACACAGGGTAGAAATAGGCTGAGGTCTCAGGGTTGTTAAAAATTAGATCTCAAGTTTATTGAGTCCACAGTTTGACTCTTCCTTTCATGGCATGTTCCAGCTGTTTGATGGAGTGAATCAAACCAAATTGGCCCATGTAAAGATGAATTTGAAACTTGCTGAGTTTCAGTGGATAAACCCAGACTTTAGTATTCAAGGAGGACTTGCTATCCCAGGCATCAAGAATCTTTCACTGCTTACTGTAGATACAAATGCTTTCCAGCCCTTCACAAGAGGCAGGTGGTGGGACTCATTTTGTTTCTAAGAGCCCAAGATGAGCTCGTGAGCTTTTATGAAGCATGTTCCAGAACCAGATGGCTGGAATGTAGCCAGCAGACTAGGTTCAGGAGATGACTTTCCAGTACGTCCTCTGTGACATCCCACTATTTGGTACCCTCTTCTCCTTGTTCTCATAAGCCGCTATGTGCTATACTTGGGCGATTCCCTCTACTAGAATATAAGTTAGAACTTGGGGTCTGAGTCTTATCCCTTTAACCCCAACATAAAGCCCCAAAGTGAGCACACAGTAACCTTTGTTGATAACTGTGTGACTCTGGATGGATGAGTGGAGTCTGCCCTTCTCAGCCAGTAATCATTCAGGTTCTGAGTACCCAGTATTGTACCCAAGGGTCAAGGAAAGGAGATAGGCCAGAGAGACTGGTTAATGTGAGAAAGTTTTTATTTATGGAAACTGGGCCCTGAGGGTGGGTTTCAGAGCTGGGCTGAAACACAGTGGTTGAGACTTCTACCAGACGTGCTCTGCAGTCATCTAAGGTGAAGAATGAAGTCAGACAATTAAGTTTGTGAATTCACCCTAGAAAAAGTGCTACATACCTCATTGCTGAATACCAATAGATGGCCAAGGGAAGTACTTCAAAGGTGACCATGGTGATATGCAGCAGTGAGGTACATAGCACTTTTTCTAGGATGAGTTTGCAAACTTAACTGTCTGACCTTATATATGTGTAAGGCTGGGCCCCCGTTGTGGGACTGTGGCCATATGAAGAGAGCCCTGCTGCTGTTTCCATGGGGCAGTGTGATCTTGGGCAAATCATACACTGACCCTGTGCCTCAGTCTCTCCATTTGCCTATGTTGCAGCTATAGTTAAATCACAAGGTTATTTGTGATGCTTGTGTAAAATATCTTCATGAAAATGCCAAAAATGTGTTTCTGCATCTCCAAACATATAAAGTCCCCTGGGGGTCTGCAGGAGGTGCCTTATCTCGTTTCCCAGCAGATGTCAATGTTTCCCTGCTCTGAGATGCCTCCTGCTCTCACTTCCCATTGGACAGGTGTCACTCCAATGGCAGCCACTCCTATCACCATCCATGGGTCCTCCTGGTGCTCTCTGCTATGCCACCCATGGCCTCCTTAATGCCAGCTTTCCAGGGTTGAAGATCAGCATTCACACCTGCCTGCCACTATAGAAGTGTCCCCATGGACACCTTCCTCCATGGTGGCCCTCTCCTTTCTTCCGGCAGGGTTTAAGGGAGAGAAGGACCACTGGCGGAGCCGGCGCACCATCTGTGTGAAAACCCATGAGAGTGGTAGAAGGGAGATTGAGATGTTCGATTCTGCCATCCTGCTGATCCGGAACCCATACAGGTCCCTGGTAGCTGAATTCAACAGAAAGTGTGCTGGGCACCTGGGCTATGCCACTGACCGTAACTGGAAGAGCAAAGGTAAATGGGGGTGGAGGTCAGTGCAGGCAGGATACCTGTTGGGATGTAGGATCAGTATGCACAGTATGCCACTCAGAGCTCATCTTCTTGGGGACTTGCTGCTGCCGTACCTGGGCTTAAGCTCACTTCCTTCCCAACTCCTCTGCACCAACTCAGGTCCATGCATCATGCTGTTTTATGGATACCAGCTTGACTGCCAGGAACCTTGTCAGTCCCCATGAATGGGATAATTCAGTGGTCTACATCCCTTTTCTAACCCTACTCTTACCCAGGAGCTCAGAAGGAGCTGGGGGAAGGCCACTGGTTTTTGGATGTGTGTGGACCTGGTTTGCGCCCTTCTCTCCCTTTAGAACCAGGATTCTCCTTTATCAAATGAGATAGTAACCTGTATCTCATGGGCCTTCCAAGGACCATTCAATGACATGTGTGCCCTGCCTGGCCTCAGAGCTCAGTGTGTCAGTTTCCTCCTAAGCTGCCTCTCACTAACTGTAGGGCAATCATATGAGCCCAGAAACCATGACTGTGGGTCTGTCCAAGTAGCCTTGGTGTCAGGAGACAGAACTAGGACTCAAACCCAATGTCTCTGTCAGCTAGCACTACTGTAACAAAATACCGGATGGAGAGCAGTAAACAATTATTTCTTACAGTTCTGGAGATTCAAAGTTCAAGATCAGAGTGCTAGAGGATCTGGATTCCTGTGAAAGCCCACTTTTCAGCTTACAGATAGCTGTGTTGTCACATGGTGTGTGATGTAGACAGTCTAAAAGCTCAAGTGTTTCTTCTTGCTAGGGCACTAATCCCATCACAAGGGCCCCACCCTTCTGACCTCTAACTCTACATCCCAAAGACCTCATCTTAAATACCATCATATTGAGGGTAGGGCTTTAACATGAATTTTGTGTAAATACAACATTGATTCCATAACACCCAAATTTTCCTGATTTGAGGTCAGATTGGTTTGTTCCCCACTGAAACTTTCTTCATGGAGTCAGTCCACTGACCCACACCAAAGTCCTACTGTGTGCCAGATACAGGGCAAGGCACCAGGGGTCTAGGCTGTAGAGGTCAGGTTCTCTGCTCTGGAGGCATGCAGTGTAGCCTTTGGGTAATGAATAATAGAGACTCAAATCTGGGTGGTAAGTAGTGTGAAATTAAATCAGTCAGAAGTAAAGCTGTGTCTCTGGATCCACAGAGTCTAGCAGGTGTCCTCTGCTGGTGTCCAGTACTTCCCTTTCCCTGTCACCCTCCTTACAGACCAGCACCCCAAGTCAGGCAAGCTGAGCTCTGAGCTATCTGCTGCCTCTTACAAGCTGGGTGACCCCATATGATGCACAATTTGTCTGCAAGGACTCAGTTTTCTCGTATTTAAAACAAGGATAGTCCTGTCTCGCAGGATCGTGATGATGAGAAAAAGCAACCCTTCTGTGTAGCATTTGAATCATATGAATAACCTAATTATGGAAATTATTTTTGTAGGGATGACTTTTGATATCTGTACTCCAGCCCCCCTCCAAAAAATTAATTTCCTAATTTTCTTGAAAAGAAATCTCAGGGAGTAGATCACCTGCAGAAGTCTGAGGCCATCCCTGCTGGTGGCTTCATTGTACATCCTGCTGCCCAGCACTTTCAAAGGTCTGCACAGATGATCCAGCTCACCAGACACCGTGAGCGCCCATCAAGCACCACATTGACTTAGCTTTGTAGGAGCACCCAGCGGAATAGAGTCAAGGCTACCCACCCAAGGCTACCCACCCAGGGAATAGAGCCCACCAGCGTCTTTATCTCACCAGGAGGCTCAGCAACCCATAAGGCACACACTGTGTGGCCACTAAAAGGGTCTTCCCAGGTGGGAGGTGGGGGGATTCCGGGCAGGTTGGCCCCAGGCGGTGGGCAGGGGAACATCCCAGCTGTCGTCCCCTCTCCTGCGCAGGCCCAGAGGGGGCTGGCAGCATAACAGCCCCCCCACTTATACTGCATGCCTCTCTTCCCGCCCCAGAGTGGCCAGACTTTGTCAACACCTACGCGTCATGGTGGTCATCACACGTGCTGGACTGGCTTAAGTATGGGAAGCGGCTGCTGGTGGTGCACTATGAGGAGCTGCGGCACAGCCTGGTGCCCACACTGAGGGACATGGTGGCCTTCCTCAACGTGTCGGTCAGCGAGGAGCGGCTGCTCTGCGTGGAGAACAACAAGGAGGGCAGCTTCCGGCGGCGTGGCCGACGCCCCCACGACCCTGAACTCTTCACCCCCGAGATGAAGGATTTGATCAACGGCTACATCCGGACAGTGGACCAGGCCCTGCGTGACCACAACTGGACTGGGCTGCCCAGGGAGTATGTGCCCAGATGATAGGCCCTGGCCAGCGCCGCCCACCCTGCTGAGAGACGCAGAGTCACTCCAGGGCTGCAGGCCCACATCGCTGCCCAGGCCTGTGGCTTTGCTGTGACGCTCAGTCGGCAGGGAGGCCACTGGGGTGCTGCCTCACACCCAGGGAGACCAGGATACAGATGGGCATCATGGGGCAGACACAATGGACACACACTCCTCGCCAGACACCCACACCTTCTCAGACACACTTAGATACCACTCCATGTTCACAGTGCCTGTACTGATGCAGCAAAGCCACCATGCAGGGTGTGCCAGGCGCTCTCAGGTTCAGACACAGTTGGAGACACTCAGATGCCGGGCTCTGTGCTTCCAGAAGCCACTGTCTCTCCCACACAGACACACGCACCCTGAGCTCTCAGGGGCTCTTCATTCCTGTGTCCATCCTGGCACAGACTCTTGTCGAGGTCCTTGACTCTGGGGTACTAGGCTGGGCAGGCATTTGTACTCTGAGCAGAAAGAGCCGTCAAGAGTGGAAGTGGGGGCAGAAATCACTGCTGCTGGGCTGAGTGGCCCTGATCATGTGTCTGACTTCCCATAAATGTGTGTGGTGTGGCTTCCAGGCACTGGGGACTGCAGCCCTGCCTCTCTCTTCTTTGTAGGGGTGCTGGTGGCACCATGGGAAGAATGGTTCCCCTGCCTCCACACACTCTAACCTTAGGAACAGCCACGGGGAGTCTGTGCAGCACCTGCCACCCCGTGCCTCACCCTGTATCAGTGCTCCTCAGGTGGGGCCTCCTTGCCCAGCTTCTCCCTCCAACTGTACCCAGGGGACCTGAGGATTTACGCCACGCCTCAGAAGCAAAGTATGAGAATGGCAGGTGGGGGGCCTTCAGGGAGCCCAGGGCCCAGAGGAGGCCATACACCAGCAGGGAGGGGGGTTAGGGAGCAGTGTGGGAGACTCAGTCTAAAGGGTGTATCTTGGGGATCACATCGACAGGCCCCTGCTGTCTGTGGGTCCCATGCATGGGGTCATGAGAGCTATGTGGTGTTCAGCTAGGGATGAAGAGAGGTGCTAAAGCTGCTGACCTTTTGGGGTCACCCCCCATACACATCCTGGGCTCAGAAATGAGGCTGTGGAGACGTAAAGGCTCAGGTGTGGAGGTTGGAGGTAACAATCTGGGAGCAAAGCTTAGGGCAGCCAAGACACAGGGAGGACTGTGGGATGATCGAGGGCACACCAGCCATTGCCTGAACTCAGGCAATCTATCTGCAGTTTCTCCAGACCTAGGGTAACCCTGACCAGACCCCTTGGACCCACCTTGGGATGGCCATCAGGAAGATTTCTCTTGCCCTAAACCAACCTATGTCAAGATGATAAAACTGGACAGGGGTTTGAGGAAGAGCTGGAAATGTCATAATGACCTGGCTTGGTCCCTGGCCTGGTGATGGGGAGCTGAGAGCCACCCTGTGAGCACAGCAGGGGTGGAGGGCCCTGGAGAGCTGCCCTCCCTCAGAGTGAAGCCTCCCCCAGCCTTTACTTTGGCTGGTAAGTGGGTTTGGGCATGTGTGTTCCCAGTGGCTTCCAGGTCCTTCCTGGGAGTTCTTAAAGTCCATACTGAGGTGAGGCTGCTCCTGACCCACCCACAGCTTCACTCATTTCAGCACAAAGCTAGAAACACCAAGGTCTTTGTAAACATCTATTCATTTATTGGTGCAGAATGGATGTGGGGTCCAGTGTGTGGAGCTTTTTTCCAAGTTGTGGGAGCAGTTGGGAGCCCCTAGGAGTTTCCACACTGCCTTGGAAGGAGCTAGACCTGCCTCCCAGAGCAAACCCAGAGTCCCAAAAGAGACAGACAGCAGGCACCAGGTCAATGGAGAAAAGAGAAGCTGGCCTTGTCCTGAGATTGGCTCCCCTGCTCTGGCCCTCATTCTCCCGAGCCATTCAGGCAGTCTTCAAGGAAGAAGACTCAGAAAGCACAGAGGCTGGAAAGGGTGAAACTATGGAAAGAGGTCTGATTTGTACTGGAGCAAGGCATGACCCCCTGGGCCTGCCCTACCACCTCCCAGAGGTGTCTGGGGAGAGCACAGAAGCAGACTGTTCGTCCTGGTAGTCAGGTTGGTACTTCACCACTGCCAAGTCCCCTGAGCCCTCATCTCCTTACAGGTGGGGTGCCGCCTGCTTGGCCACTTGGCCTTACAGGTTTCTGTGTACTTTAGGTAGGAGAGCAGGCTAGTGGAAAAATGAGTCAGGGTCCATCAGGTTCACATGGAGTCTCTCCATGTAGCAAGGCCCTTGGCATTTGGCAGGTGATCCCAGATGTTAGGCGAGCAAGGAGGTGCGAAGGTCCTGCCAGCTGCTGCTGGTCCTCGGTGCCTCTCATCCCAGGTCTGCCCAAGCAGGAGATCTCATCAGAAACAGGAAGGGGGATTTGTCTGTCCTTTGGGGAAAGTCCATTTGTCATTCAGCAGTTAGTTCTCATCCCTCTCCCACTCGAAGCTTCTCAGTAAAAAGGGTACTGTCCCAACCAGCTTTAGGGAACTTGAATCTGTAATGTAGGGCAGAAGTGTGGCAAATGCATCAGGAATTGATTAGAACAGAGCAACAGAACCCTGATTCTGTACGGATTCCAACTTCAACGGCAAGACTAGAGCGACACAAACCTGTGTTAAAACGTGTAATTTTCATGGATTTCATCTCCCGTTGTGGATCAATTTGGCAAAGCCAAAATACATAATTTTAAAACACTAAAACACATCCCGAAAATCCCAGGGACATTTAAATGAGAGAATAATAGACAGGCTTCCAAACCCTAAGAAGAAAGCTGCTTAATTATGTGAATATCTTATAATGAAGTCTCTTATAGCTAAAATTAGATCATGACTGCATGAATATGTGATAATGTTTGCACATCAGAATGCATGCCCCCCCCTTAAAAGTAGCAAGAGCTACTTGTTTCTTAGGGGGCCCTGAGAAGGGTGAAAGAGAGACTGAGTTGATCTTGTGGCTACAGGAATTCTGGGGGCACAGGTTTGTTTTTCTGGACTCATTTGGAAACTCACTGGAGGTATTTAAAATGTGATGACTCTTAAGGGGTTTGTTTAGATGTAGGGAGAAGTTGATTGGTCTGACCTTATACTGAATCACCACCCATTGTTGGGTGGGTTGGCCTGAAAGAGGTAGGAGTAACATGAAGTGGGAATAGTATAGTCTCTTCCAGGGCAGGGCCAGTTGCGGCCCTAGCTCTACTCTGCTGTATTCTGGGGTAAGGCCTTTCTCATCTCCAGTCTCAGTCTCCCATCTATAAAATCAGGTATGTGGTGGATGCTTTTGGCTGTATCTCCAATATACATTCCTCCATTTTCCTTCCCCCCCGCAGCCCCTCACTTCTGTTTGGGGAATTCTTATGATCTGCCAGAACTGCCTCTGTGCTCATCTCCAGGGCTAGAATACACATCCCGGACTAAGCCAAACACACGTAGGATCATGGTCATTAAGGCAACACAGCACGAGGGAATTTCAAGACTTTCTGGGGATGTTGGGCAGAAACTCTTCATTCCCCTGACGTAAAAGGAGGAGGTAATGCTGGGCCTTGGTGCTGGCCACTTTGGGGTCACAACCAGGCATCACTCAGTGTGACTCCAACACTACTGAAGGGAGAGTCAAAGGCAGGAAGAAACCAGTCCTTGGTGACATTGTTCAATTTATAGGATCAAGCTTTGCCTGAGATTGGCCCCTACCTCTGGGGATTTTTTGTTACACAAACAAATAAATTCTCTTGATTGTTTAAGTTGGGTTGAGTTGAGTTTCTTTTACTCACTTGGCACAAAAGTTCTGGATTGAAAGGCCCTGAGGCTCTGACATTCTCTGTCTTTATAGCTGATGTAGATAAAACCTGAAACTCAGGCCAGCATAAACTGGTAGGATTAGTGGGAAGCTGTGCTCAGTCAGCCAAGAGCAGTCGCATTTTTGAGTCAGTATGTGATGATGTCACTCAGATATCCTTAGAAAATAATTACTTTGGAGTTCCCAACCCAATCCTTAAGTTGTCTTGTTTAATCATCAATCAACTCTTTGGTTGATTTAATTTCTATTTGGTTATGATCTCTGCTTGGCAAATGAGAGGATTGAGAGTCCAACTGGTAATGGTGGTAAAAGTGGTAACTCTTTTATATATGCCATAACTCCTTTCACGAAGTATATGATATATTGGGGGATTCTTTGATAAAATACTTGGATTGGGAATGACACCCCCTTCAAGAAACATGTTTTGAGTAACAGCAGATACTAAACTCCTTTCTAAGGAGAGTGGGTGTGGCTAACCTTTTTGCCAAGTAGAACATGCAAATTTGAGGCAGAGCAGAATTACTGCTATTGGAGGAGAAATGGGTGATGCCACAGAGAATTCCTCTCCTCTGTCCTCTCTTAAACCCTACTGTGTGCTATATTGAAAAGACAGAGTTATACATGACATACATCATTGGACTCCTTTTGGATTGTCTGACTTTTACACAGTATTCCAGGATTGAGCTCTGTGCAAAATGTAGAAAAAGGCCAGGAACTCAGGAAATCAATGTGTTGTATATTTATCCACAGTGCTCCCTTTTGTGACTGAATATAAATTTGGGGTCACTCATGAGAAACATTGCAGAAATTCAGGTCTCTGCCATGGGAAATATGAGCAGATCCATACTAAATTAATTGCAAGCATAATTGCATAAATAAAACAAGGAATCTTGATGTCAAACATAAAAAGAATTCCAGTTGCTGTTGGGAGCATCAACTTGAGCTGAATTAATTAACTTTCCAAGGCATCTTCAGGATTTAAGGTATGTTTACTTTTTCAGGTTCAGGTATCAGCAGTGAAAGATCCAGGGCTTGACGGTATAGCCAAAGATGATCAATAATAGTAAACAGAATTCTTAATGGTCACAGAGACCCACAGACATCATCCCTCATGTGCCTCTGTGATGTGGACATTATGATCCATGTGGAGAGAAGAGAAAGTTTAGTTTCTGATTTTGAGTTGGCCAAAGTCTAACCCTTTTATCATACCGAAAAGAAAAATGAGACTGGGACTGGGGCAGGGTCTCATATGAGGTTATGCTGTGACAATGAGGGTGGCGCTGGGCCGGGAATGCAGGCTTTGTTCACTAAACCACCCGCTTGGCCCTGAACTACCTCTGAAATGAGACAAGTATTCACATACAGTTCCTGTGAAAGCAAATTCATAAATTTCACTGGTAATTCTTTGCCAAAATACTTTCTGGTGAACACCTGAGTTCACTGTTAAGGGACATTTATGAAGCATTCCTTGTA